TCTGGTCTCTCATGGAAGAATTCACTGAGGAGAGAAACCCTTTACGTTCAAGTACTGCCCTAAATCATTCAGCCTGAAATGCAACCTCACTGTTCATGAACGTATCCATAACAAGGAGAAGCCGTTTAAATGTGATCATTGTGACCACGGCTTTTGCGACAGTTCCAAGCTTAGAGTTCATAACCGTACACATACCGGAGAGAAGCCATTCAAGTGTACCCTATGTGGCCAGTCGTACAGGCAAAAAGGACAGCTCACATATCAGCAACGCATACACACTGGAGAGAAACCATTCAAGTGTAAACCATGTGGAAAGTTTTTTTCTCTCAGACAAACAATCTAACAGTACCTGAAAGAATACATACCCGAGGGAAACTGATCAGCGATTGTGACATGTTTTTCAATGAAAAAAAAACACGTGGAAGGCCATGCAAATGCTAGCACCATTAAACAAAATGCTTCTTTGCAGGCAGGCATAGTGGGATGGTCTAAGACCATGATTGAGAAACAGAGGGTGCCAGGTTCAAGTCCTGCTTGGAAGCGGAAGGATTTTTCCAGCCGTGCTGCGACCCACAGTTAATTGGGAACTCGTGGCCTGGCACGAGGAAAACATGGATGCAGTGAATGGGATTTTCGGTCTTTGACCACTTGCTGGTGAGCTGATCTACTCACCTCCCACCGCTTTAGGAGCTGCATCTGCGCCTTGATCCTTGAAGGGTGGTGGCGTTCCTACGGATGCGGAAAACCCGGCTTCCAGCCGAGTCTCACGCGAACCGTGAAAAATTCTTTGCAAGGTTATGGAAAAATTTCATGATAGGTCCGTTTTGAGATGCAAGTAGCCCAATCTGAAGTCCATGCAAAACTCACTTCTTACATGCCGACTTCAATTAATGTAGCATCATAAACAGTATCATTATCATTGTTTTAGAGTTGATATATAGTACATTTTCTTTACCATGTTACTCAATGCACTTCTTATACCTATTTCCATATCTACCATTCTTAAAAATACTCAGTAATGCTTAACATTAGGCACTTCTTGATATTATAATCAGTAATCGTTTGCGCATCTTTATTCATCTGCACGCATGCCGGGTGACCTCCATTGAAGTTGCGGCAGATTTCTTGGCCGTCGCTGGTATGGGTGCGACCACAGGAGGTAAATGCCGCTGGCTTGGGGAATTTAAAAGATTGGAGACGAAAAGGACACAAACCGCCCCTGGATGGGCCGTCTTACATTGAGCGCATTTTGGGTGTGCATGGCCTGTGAAAGCAATTTGCCATAGGTTCACATCTATGGTGTCCAACCTCTTCGTGCCTGGTTACTGGGCCACGAGCATCCGCAGCTGACGGTCGTACTCTAGCCACGCGCTTGGGAAGAACTGGCGGTTAGCAGTCAGGATTATGTGCTGGTACGCAATCAGTTCAGCAGTTTAGCAGTGCGGTGTGGGGCAGCAGCCGTGATAACAGACATGGATATGGTCCATGCCTCGAGCCAGGTAGCTATATCGTGAACCTTGCGACGCACCTGCTTCGCGTTTTCTGACTCAACGATATTTAGCTGGCTATCGCTATTTGGGCTGTGCGCCAGCCGGAATGTTGGGCCGGAAGTGTGCAAGAATTTTAGGCAACAAACTTGAAAAATCTACGAACTTCCCTCGCAAGATACGTTCTTGCACAGCCTTGTGCACAGCTGGTGCAGGTGGCTGATCGGGTGGGTTACAGGAGCTTGGGCTGGCGTAGTGGGGGCAGCAGCTGCATTGCCTTGGTCTTGGGTGAGGAGCGGCACAATACTCTCCGTAATGGCGGCCGACAAAGACGACTACACATCGTCCCGTACAAGAGCGCAGAGATCTGTTGAGCCCGCGTCACCTGAGCTGGCGGACGAGGCATTGGTGACAGTCGGGCTTCTGGGCTCGCGAGCCGTGTCCGCACTATCATGTTGCTGGTTATCCTGGCCGGAGCAGACCTCACTACCAAGGGCTAGCTGTGCCAGCAAACGGTCCTGTAAAATACTTTTACTAAGTTTCCTTTCGGATTCAAGCCTTGCTGAGAAAGCTCGCTGCGGATAGCTTGTCAAGGCATTGCCTTGACAGTGTCGACAGTTAGGTCAGACCTACTGAACAAATGCGGCGTCAAGGTGACACTCGGGTTGGCAGCAAAGCTACGAAAGGAAAAGAAACACTGCCGAAGAACGATCCGTTGTCTGGAAGAGCACAACAGGTCAAGCAAGATTTGTTTTTCTTTTCAGCAAAACGGGCTGGTGGCATTTGTGATTACACAGCAAAAAAAAATAGCGCATGATGTCAGTCTTGAAGTCAGTTTTGAATGCAGTACAAAGCAATGCAGTGCAGTGTGTGCGCTAGTTCGGATTGTTGCTAACACCCCATAAGTCAACACAATGCAATTGAGTGCATTGCAATCCATGCGGTTACATCTACTGACTTTGTTCATTTAAGGCACTGCCTTGGTATCAGACAGGTAGGCATAGTGGGATGGTCTAGGACGGTGAATGTGAAGTAGAGGATACCCATTTCAAATTCTGCTTGGAAGGTGAGGGATTTTTCCAGTCCTGCTGCGACCTGCAGGTAGTTGGTCCTCGCATGTGGGAAACATGGATACAGTGAATGGGATTTTTGGTCTTTGTCCACTTTGTGGTGGGTCTGATCCACTTACGCCCTACTGCCTTATATTAGGAGCTGCATATTATATTCTGCTCTTTAATCCTTGCGGGGAGTAGCGTTCGTACGCATGCGGAAAACTGAGTTTGGCCTAGTCTCACGCGAACCATGTCTTTTTGTCTCACAACTGTATTTTATTCTTGTCGGAGACAAGATAATAATAATTATTCATAGAAACGCAACCAATTGACAACCAACAGACACTGATTCGTTTTGACAGAAACGTTTTTCTCTAGAATTCATCATTAACTACTTCTGGTGTGTAGTTTACGTGACACAAGATATTATCTTGTTACAACAGAATGCTGTTCCATTTTTTTGGTGTCGATTTTTGGACATGTTCCCTGTTCCAGAATGGCGACACTCCATTGGACATTGCGGCAATGAAGGGCAGACTGCATTTTGTGAAGCGTCTAGTCCCAAACATGTTACTGCATAAGACAACAAAGCAACAGGTAAGATACCAGCGCTTTTATAGTTACTTTGGTTTTTCCAGAGCGTTTGCTGTTCTTTTGCAGATATCAGTGGAAGGTTACAGACAGCAATGTTCCGGTTGATAAGGTAGCAGGGTTTGCACTGGTTGGGACCAATTTCCCTAGGTTGGATGATGACTGTCCCTGGGTGGGATGAACACTGCCCCTGGGTGAGCTGACCACTGCCCCTGGGTGGGATCACCCCTGTCTCTGGGTGGGTTCACGACTGCCCCTGGATGGGATCATCACTATCTCTGGGTTGGATTACCACTGTCTCTCAGTGGAATGACAATTGTTTCTGCATGGGATTACCCCTACCATTATCCCTGGGTGGAATGACAAGTGTCTCTCGGTGGGATCACCATTGTCCTTGGGTGGGATGACCACTGTCCATGGGCGGGATGACCACTGTCCCTGGGTGAGATTACCCCTACCATTATCCCTGGATGGAATGACCACTGTCTCTCGGTAGGATCACCATTGTCCTTGGGTGGGATGACCACTGTCCCTGGCTGGGATCACCACTGTCCCTGGGTGGAATGACCACTGTCCCTGGGTGGAATGACCACTGTCCTTAGGTGGGTTGACCACTGTCCCTGGGTGGGATGACCACAGTCCCTGAGTGGGGTGACCACTGTCCATGGGTGGGATGGCCACTGTCTCTGGGTGGGATGGCCACTGTCCCTGGGTGGGATGACCACTGTCCCTGGGTGGGAGGACCACAGTCCCTCGGTGAGATGACCACTGTCCCTGGGTGGGATGACCATTGTCCCTGGGTGGGGTGACCACTGTCCCTGAGTGGGATGACCATTGCCCCTGGGTGGGATCACCACTGTCTCTGAGTGTCCATGTGTGTGTGTGTGTGTGTGTGTGTGTGTGCATGCGTGCACGTATGTGTGTGCGTGTGTGTGTGTGCGTGCGTGTACGTGTGTGTGCGTCCGTGCGTGTGTGAGTGTGTGCGTGGGTGCATGCGTGTGAGTGTGGGTGTGTATCCATGGGTGTGTGTGTGTCCATGCATGTATGTGTGTGTGTCCATATGTGCGTGTGTCCATTTGTGCGTGTGCGTGTCCATGTGTGCGTGTGTGCGTTAATGTTTGTGTGTGTGTGTGTTCTCGCTCGCACACATGCATGTGTATGTGTATGTTTGTGTGTCTGCGTGTCTGTGCGTGTATCCACGTGTGTGTGTGTGTCCGTGTGCATGTGTGTGTGTGTGTGCACGCACGCGTGCGTGAGCTTGCACACACGTGTGTGTGTATGTTTGTGTATGTTTGTGTGCATGTGTGTGTGCGTGTGTGCGTGTGTGTTTGTTTGCTTCCTATGCCCAGTGTCTGTCACTATTTGTACAAGCTTGCGCCAATTCTGCTGACAATTGCGTACCAGTACTACAGGTATAGTGAATTTGACATAGCATAGAGATCCATATCGGTTTGGTAGGGGACCTGAAATTGAGCAGGGTCATGCCATATTTTGGATGGAGGGTACCAGAACACAATAGTTGAAAAAGAAGGAACAAAAATGTTACTGGGCTGGGACTTGAAATATGCAGAAGACGACTCCACAAATCACTACATACATAGTAGTGATGCGGGAACTGAAATGTAACTAACTGGCAATTGAAATGTAACTAACTGGCAATTGAAATGTAACTAACTGGCAATTGAAATGTAACTAACTGGCAATTGAAATGTAACTAACTGGCAATTGAAATGTAACTAACTGGCAATTGAAATGTAACTAACTGGCAATTGAAATGTAACTAACTGGCAATTGAAATGTAACTAACTGGCAATTGAAATGTAACTAACTGGCAATTGAAATGTAACTAACTGGCAATTGAAATGTAACTAACTGGCAATTGAAATGTAACTAACTGGCAATTGAAATGTAACTAACTGGCAATTGAAATGTAACTAACTGGCAATTGAAATGTAACTAACTGGCAATTGAAATGTAACTAACTGGCAATTGAAATGTAACTAACTGGCAATTGAAATGTAACTAACTGGCAATTGAAATGTAACTAACTGGCAATTGAAATGTAACTAACTGGCAATTTAAATGTAACTAACTGGCAATTGAAATGTAACTAACTGGCAATTGAAATGTAACTAACTGGCAATTGAAATGTAACTAACTGGCAATTGAAATGTAACTAACTGGCAATTGAAATGTAACTAACTGGCAATTGAAATGTAACTAACTGGCAATTGAAATGTAACTAACTGGCAATTGAAATGTAACTAACTGGCAATTGAAATGTAACTAACTGGCAATTGAAATGTAACTAACTGGCAATTGAAATGTAACTAACTGGCAATTGAAATGTAACTAACTGGCAATTGAAATGTAACTAACTGGCAATTGAAATGTAACTAACTGGCAATTGAAATGTAACTAACTGGCAATTGAAATGTAACTAACTGGCAATTGAAATGTAACTAACTGGCAATTGAAATGTAACTAACTGGCAATTGAAATGTAACTAACTGGCAATTGAAATGTAACTAACTGGCAATTGAAATGTAACTAACTGGCAATTGAAATGTAACTAACTGGCAATTGAAATGTAACTAACTGGCAATTGAAATGTAACTATAACTGGCATGAAAAGAATTGTGAGCAGCAGCTTTTATACACAGGCAGACTCCGTACGCTAATGTACAGGGATACGCTAACGTACGGGGATACGCTAACGTACGGGATACGCTATACGCTGTGAAAGTCACCAGCTTGCCAACGCTACACCTCCCCTCTCAAATACAATCACGTCCTCGTGATTCGAATACGAGTAGCAGAGCACGAAGTGACGAACACTGATGGAAGATAATAAAGATGCCCAGACTAGACTTGGGCGAGAAAGATTACTTAGTTGATAGCCGGACTCCGATAATCGACTGAGACGAGAAGACACTGGCGGCATGCATGGTCGAGTCGGAATAAACTCGACGATAGGAGATAGGCAGAATGGATGACATGCATATACAGGTATGTATTCGTGAACAGCCACGGTTGATATCCGGACGCAATGAAGGCAACTGACATTGAAGTACTGGCTGGAGCGCAGGAGTAGATCAGAGGACTAAGATGAACATTGAACATTATAGTAGATCGCGAATTACTTGGAGAGCGTCAACCGGAGTATGGCAAATAATATTGGAAATGATAACGTTTGGAATAGACAGAAGAATGAACTGATAAACAAATCATAAAGTAGCAGCACACCAGGTTAACACAATCTCACGGAGTCAAAAGGGAAAAGAACCGTCCTCCAAATAGGACCTGAAAACCACAGCACACTTGCTGCACAACCCTGGCACAACCCGCCCGGAACATGGCAGTTCAAAACCGAACTGAATACACTATAAAGGGCATTCACATACACATTGTCCCAGGTTAGCTAGGTAGACTGTGGCTCACCATGATCGGACGCCTACCAAACTAAACTGGATTCACACACTCGCATAAAGGAAGACTGAAGAGAACAGGAAGACTGGAGGAAGACAGGAAAGAAAATGCCATATCGGGAATTAGCTTACGTTGGCCATGGAGCTTGATTAGGAGAGATGCTGCCTGTCATCATTCTTGGCTATTAATGGACGTGGTGGGCAGGTGTAGGAGGAGCGGCGGCTGGTGCAGCAGGCTGGCCATGCTGGTCGTACGTAACTAGAAAATAATTCCGCTCACTGGGTGTCGACTTGCGGGCCGAGCTAGCGCTTTTATCATTACTACCAGGAAACAGACTGTCGCCCAATGTTGCCACGGGCACAGCACACGTTGTCTTTCTCGTAAGTCCACCAAACTCATCCTCGAAAACTTTCCTCTCGTCAACAACACGCGAGTCCAGGTCGATCCACAAAGCATTCAAGTCTCGCTTCTCCACATCAACAATAAGAAGTCCGAAGGAGAATGCTACCGCCAGAAGTAGTGCACAGAGGCCGATTATGCCGGGTCTCCGCACCACCAGGGGTGCATACATCACGAACACCCGGTCGGCAAAATCGCGCAGCCGTTGGCGCGGGTCACGCATCTCGAAGGACGGTCGGTAGGTAGAGACTTCTTACTGCCGCAATGCTATGCAATGTGCGCCACCAGTTTTGTAGCGCCATTGCTACCAATGTAAAACAGGTGGGTTCGAATCTAACAAATGTTATTGAACCACCGCTGCC